ACTCACTAGGGGGGACCAGAAGGGTTTGGGGGAGACGCTGTTTCCCCTGGCACCCGCTGGCATAACAAGGAGTAATGGGCACAAGTTGATGGAGAGGAGGTATAGATTGGACATCCGCAAGAACTACTTCACAGTTAGGGCGGCTAGGAGCTGGAACCAACTTCCAAGGGAAGTGGTGCTGGCCCCTACCCTGGGGATCTTTAAGAAGAGGCTGGATGCCTACCTGGCTGGACTCATTTGAGTCCCGTTTCTTGTTTTTGGGGTTTTTGTTGTTCTCCCGCCCTGGCGGGGGGGTTGGGCTAGAAGATCTACTAGGTCCCTTCCGACCCTTAATCTATAAATCTATGAATCTATAAGTGGTGCAGCCCATGTGGCGTTTGCTAGTACAGCCCTTGGGGCGTGTGGCTCCCAGGGACTTAGCACTTGGACAGCCTTGTTTTAGACAATCATTCTTCTGATGTTACTGCAATGTATGTAGTAATCATCGTCAGTTTCCTGCACGGAAGCAGTGCCTGTTGCCAGTGATAACATTGTACCATCTTAAACAATTCTATTCATATGTGAAGACACATAATTGCCAAAGGAGTAAGGGGGTAAAACTGAGAAAAAAGATATGCTAAATAATTTGAAAAGGTTCAAAGAGCAAGATCTATGCGACTAAGGATTGTCTACTAAGGGGAACTCCGTGACCACAAAGGAACTCTATGAGCAACAACTGTGGATTACAGTAGTGCTCTGGGCAATGACTGTCCTAAACTGTGTTACTGACCAGTTGGAATTCTTTGATGCTATCACAGCCATGCAACAACTCACATCACATACAAAGGCCCTCCTCCCCAGTGGGGAGCATCTTTAGATTTGAAATACCCTCAGGCACAGGTGCCTAGTTTATTGGTGAATAATTTTAACCTTCTGCAGTTCTGTGACTTTAAACTTCAGCTTTCATCATACAAGATGGGTGTTGAATGCAGCATCCATATTAATTTTACCTTGGAACTGTCCTAGCGGAAGCATTAAGTTTCTCTCTGGGGGAATGTAACGTAAAACAACAGTCAGCTCTCCTTTATACTGAAGTCCAACGTCTGCTGCAATCTCCACCTAACAGTGAAGAAAGAAAAAAGAAATCCAGCTCTGCTTAATATCCAATCCCTTGGAATTACATTTTACAGTGCAAGTTAGTTCAGCTAAACACTGTTTAAATATGGTGTCACCTGGCACATTGCTCACAGCTAATTAGCCATTGCAAAACTGAACAAACAGCTCTATTTTCAAAAGTTGCACAACCAGAGAATGCAAGAGCTCAGAAGAATGGAAGTTACATGGCCTGTGCGAGGTGCAGTTCAGTTAACCTACTCAGGGAAGAGAAAGCTTGTTTGTCATAATGAAGAAAAATTCTGTCCTATGTTAAACATTGACATGCAGCAAACAAGTCTAATACTGTACAAAGGCAAAAACTGTAGCTAATTTTGGGCCAGATTCTGATATCCTTATTCACGGGCTAGGGCCAGACATTACACATAAACCAGCTTAACTGATCAGAAACTGGTTTAAATCTGTAACAGAATGTAAGTCCAATGCACATAAAACAGTTTCAAAATGGCTGAAACTAGTTTAAGATAAACCTGGTTGAATGTAGTATCAGACTTAACTGATTTGGGTTTATGCAATGTCTGCCCCAGACCCCTTCCTAGTTTAAGTTAAACCAGAGTCCCCCAGCATCGCAGATGCTTTGCAGCCCTGGGCAGGGCTGGGCTGTGCTGTCTGCTCCAAAGAACACACTGGCTCCACCCCTCTGCTCCCTAGCCAGATCTCTGGGGGAGACTGCAGGCACAGCAGGGTCTCCCTGGCTTCTCTTGCTGCTCAAGCAGGGACCTCCCCCTCCCATCTCCCACAGCACGGACCCCAGCCCCACAGACCCTCGGCATGTGGTATGCTAGCTAATGCTGAGAAGTGTGTGTCTCCAATTTTACTGGGATAGGCAGATAGAACAGTGTCCACTTGGAGCTTTTTGGAGATAATCAACAGGGCAGATGATAATGTCCCTCTGTTCCTTCCTTGGAATAAGCTGTTTAAGAAGAACTTGAACTAATGAGAGAGGCTTTTGTTTTGTTGATGGGCTAATAAACACTGGGTTTTATCAGCTACTTCCTGGTTTGCAGCCCTGTCAGGTTTGCAGACGGTATGAAGAAGCAGGGAGAGGGAGATTGAAAAACTCAATATTGTCAACAGATACATGCACTGTACACACACCCTTTGCCTCAGAGTGCTAGCCCAGGGCTGGGGGCTGGCAGCAAGTAGGGAAAAGCCTGAGATGGTGCAGGCCAGGGTGGGGGTTTACACTCCTCCCTAATCAGAGCGTCCTGCTGGGGCCTGGGCATGCCCCCTCCTCAGCTCAGCATTTTACAAGGGAAGGGAGGGCTGCTCTAGTGCCCCCCAGCTTCTAGCCTGAGCCACTGCCTGCATTTTCTCAGTCCAGAGGGAATGTCTGTGTGGTTGCAAAACAGTTCAACCTAGGCAGGTCAGACTAACCTGCAAAGATTGAATCAATTCAGGCTCAGGCTTTCTGAATGTCTGTCCCTAGCCATGTTGCTTAGTACTTAATGCACAATTAGTCTTGCTGATTTCAACTGTACTCTTGGAATAAGGAGGCAGAATGAAGCTCTGAAATGGAAGAGATTTATAAAAATATCTCACTTTCCAAGCTTCTTTCCCCCGTCTTCCCAAATATTACTTCTTAAGATTCTGAATCTCTTTTTCTGCCAAACATGTAAGCCTAGCAGGCTTGTGCGCCTACTGTTCACAGTACATTTCTTACAAGTAATATTAGACTCTCAGGTATTTTTAATTAAATTTTAATAAAGTTATAAGCTTGTTTTGCAAACAGTCACTGCTTCTGTAGGTGTCCTTTTGCCATAAATAGACCAAATAAAAGTAAAAAGTCTTTCCTCAGAGAGCAATCTCATGAAACTTTATTAAAGCCCCTAATGGTCTGAACTATTGAATATAGCAGGAGGCTTGGTGCTCCTGCTATTTAAGAGAAGGCAGGCAGCATGAGAAAGCAACCTGCAGGTGTGGCAAGGGCCAATTAGAGAGTCACCTGACCAGAAGAGGGTCAGGCTTGAAGCATAAGCTTAGGGGCTGAGCTGGCCAGGCAGTCTAGCCCTGAGGGCCATGGACCAAGGAATTCCTGGGCAACAGGGCTACAGCAGGGCTTCTGGGTCATGTCTGAGCTGCTGGGGGTAAGCAACTCTGGTGGCTTGTGGAAGGGACTAAGGGGAGGTAAGGAGGTCCCAGCTGGCCCAGAAGGAAGAGAGGGGCCAGAGGGTTAGAGAGCCTGGAGATTTGTAGCCCAGGGGAAGGCAAGTGTCAACAGGGCCAGGGAGCCCAGAGGTCTCTGGCCCAGGAGTGAGTGAGTGTAAAGAGGGCCAGGGAGCCCAAAGGTCTCACTGGCCCAGGTGTGGGGCCAGGGCTCAAAGATGGGCTGAAGGCTGCAGAGGGCCACAGCCAAAGACTGGCAGGAGCAGGGAAGCTCATGAGTCTCAACTGCCCTAGCATTGGGGTCAGAGCCCAGAGAAGGACCAAAGACTGGGGGTCACAGCCAGAAACTGAGGTAGGCAAGGAGCCTGTAGCCCAGGAGGGACAAGAAGAGGGGTCAGGAGGGAGGGATGTTAGGAACAGCAGAGACAGAGAGAAAGAGCGAAGAGTATCACTTATGAGGCATGGGTATGAGTATTGAGGAGGACAGAACCTCCAATCAGCCCTTAAGGTGGAGAGCGGAGACACCTGAGCTCAGGAGTGTGAGATCGGGGTTAGGAATCCTTGGGGCAGCCTCTCTTTCTTTAAAAGATAACAATGTCAAGTCCTGGCAGGTGAGGAGAAGGGGGGACTGCCCAAAGAAAGAGCAAGTTGATAACGACTGAGGGGGCTCCAGGGGCATGACAGTCACCCCTGGAGTTGAACTTAGTTACACTCAAGCACATGCCTACTTCATGCACATGAGTAGTCATTGGGACCACCCATGTAATATCTCAGCTTATGCATAAGCTTCACTTCTTACATTGTAGCCTAAGTGTGTATTGGATTCCTATGCAGATCGTGTAAGTTTGTCTAATGCACTAAGTGCTTAGATAAAACTGTAGGTCTCAAATCGTGCTATAAGCAGTACATCAAGATGCCGTTCAAGCTACTACTTACGAATAATATAACTGTGAGAACTTTCTTCTGATATCTATCTTTTCTCTTGACCCCAATAACAAGATAAAGCATTTTATCATCAGGTAAAAAAACAACCCATGCATACAAAAGTAATATACCCAGACTCAACCCTGCATATAAATTTAAACTACAGGTTAAGGCACCATCCCCTGATGAGTTACAATATTTAGGGCTAGATCCTGCCTTCTGCTCATATAAAAAAGAAGGCTGGGAATGAATGAAAGGACTTTCAAAATAATATTTAGCCCTACTGGGATACCTCTCATACAAGTATTGCAAAGACCTTTTAAAACTTTAACAGAGGAAGTCACAAACTCATTCAGACTAGAGACCTGTAGTCCCTGTTGGACATAGGAGGCAGTATAAATGCCAACTGCTTCAGAGGAATGTGCAAAAACTCAGAGTTGACAATTATGTCCTCTGGCCAAAAGGGAGAATTTTCACCCTGACTCTGGCAGCCAGGAAGCTGGATGATTTCTCAAAGCATGCAAGTTTGGTCTCCTGGCTTTTCTGTGAGGATGGCAAGATTAACTGCCCTATTCAGCAGGTGAGATAACTAAAGCACAGAACTGGAAGTTCCGACTTGCAGGAATGACTTGCCGCACAAGCCACACAAGTAACACACGAGTCTCCCAACTCCTAGTGCTTTAACCACCGGACTGTTTTACCCTCCATTTTTGCCTTCAGTCTGATCCCCTAAGACGACAGGCCATCCCACACTCAGGAAACAAATGCACCCGAAGATAACCAACTTTTATCTTCAAATAGCTGAACAGCTACTCTAAGATTACAACCGATAAGACACAGCTATTTTACTGGAAATCCTCTTTTCAGAGACATACAGCTTAAACCTGAGGACAGTGTGTTGTCTAGCTCATGGATTAACCAACAAGATCTTTAATTTTATGTTGCAATTAATTAGCTAGTCAGAATAATGCTCTTTTGCTTATCAACTGCCTTAACTGCACTTAATCTGCACTTAAATTACCCAGATCATCCCAGGAGGCAGACAAGACACACTGTAGTTCAGTTTTCTTTGGATACAAAGAATCAGAATTAATAGCCCTTATAATAAGTTTGGAAATAATCAGACAGAAGTTTCCTGTTGGAACAGCTGAAGTACTTAGCACCTCATTACTTCTCCTCTAAGTGAAAGTGCTTCATCATGACTCATGAGTGCCCTTTTGGTTATTATTATTTTTTTTAAATGGTTAACATGATGCGACACAGGAAGACGATTGAGCTGCAAAACTTGTACTGCAGTAGTTTCAACAGACCATTCTATGTCCCTTAGAGTTGTATGTGTAAGTCTGCTGTAAACCTCTCAAGTCTAAACAATAGCAAAATTTTCCAGCACCTGGTGCTACTACAGACACACAAAGGGATCCTGGCAGGCAAGTCCTCTGCTTCATGGACAGAGCCAGACATGGACCAAGCCAGAAAGGCAGAGTGGGGAGGAAAGAGTACTGGTCAATACACATTGTTTTGGGAAGGAAGAACAGCATATGATGTAGAATCATACAAAAGTAGAGCTGGAAGAACCTCAGAAGGTCATCTAGTCCAAAGCAGAATCATCCCCATCTAAACCATCCTGTAAAAATCTATTATTTAACCTACCGGTCTTAGCAAAACTATACAATCAAACCCTGTTGCACAACTACAAGGCATATTGCCCCAGAACGCCAAGAGCACACTAGCATGCTGCAGGTAAACAAGAGGCACGAGAGTTGTCAGTGTCCTGCTACTGAAAGGATTGCTAAAATATATTAATGAGATCCCAGGAAGAGGGCCAGGTCCTCCACTACAGAAAGGCAAAATCCCCCACAATCTCTTCCAAGATGACCATGGAGTAAAATTCCTTTCTGATCCCAAATGCAGTGACTGGTCTGACTCTGAGGGTTTTCAAAACCTTCTAATCAAGTACTTTGAGGTGTTAATGCCAATGGGAACACTGGCACACCACAATCAAAACCTCCAGCCTTTGCTTCAGCTAACACCCAATGCGGAAGAAACCCTGACATTTGTAGCAACAAGTGGGGAAAAAATTCCTCCTTGGCCCCACATGGCAATCGGCAAAGCCTAGAAGCACAGGGAAAACCGAGATACCCTCCACTCTGCTCTGCAACCTTGGGACAACAAACATAACTCCACACATCACACCCTCCACTTACTTTACTCATTTATCATTTACCACTTATTTTAC